TTCCAGAAGATTAACTGAAACTGAATTTTAAACATCGTTCATGCAAACAATCCAAGAGATGCCAAGAAAGGGTAACATGAGAACAGAACAATGGATGAACGGAACATCAATAGAAATGGCAGACCTAAATCCAGGAGCAGAGATTGTGAGGGTGTCGCGGGAGCATGTGGTGGCTGCCAGAAGCTGTCGCTGACTCAGTGGCAACTCACAACAACAAATCTAGCTGTGTCCATCATTCCATGAGGTGTTTCTGGAGGACAGGGAGGAAGTGGGGAGAGTGCAATTACATTGTGGGGGTTGTAATTAATGCTGTAAAACTAAATGTGTATGTGCGTGCTCTGGTGGCCTAGTGACAAGAAGCTGCACTGCAATTCCAGAGGTGCACGGTTCAAATCCACCAGATGCTCTACTGGAGAAGGAGGGGCAATCTCCTCCTGTACCAGTCAGATTCGATTTGATGGTATACACATTAAAAAAATTTTAAAAATAAGCAAGCTCTGGTGGCCTAGTGGCAAGAAGCTGCAACTGCAATCTCAGAGATGCACGATTCAAATCCACCAGATGCTCTGCTGGAGAAGGAGGAACATCTCCTCCTGTACCAGTCAGATCTGATTTGACGGCACACACACAAAAAAATAATGAAATAAAATAAATTTTTAAAAAAATTTAAAAAGAAAAAAACCAACAAAAAAATCCCCTAAATGTGTATGAATGGTTGAATGGAAAACCAATTTGCTTTATATACTTCCATTCATATTCCTTCCATCTCCATACCTTTTCAACATGTGTGCAGAGCAGATTATCCAGGAGGCTGGGCTCTATGCGGAGAATTGTGGCATCAGGATTGTTGGAAGATCTATTAACAATCTCCGTTATGCAAATGACACAACCCTGCTTGCTGAAACTGAGGAGGACCTCATGCACTTGCTGCGAAGGGTCAAGGACTGCAGCCTTCAGTATGGAATGAGGCTCAATGTCAAGAAGACAAAGATTCTTGCCACTGGACCAACTGGCAGCATCAGGATGGATGACGAAGAGATTGAGAGTGCTCACAGCTTCAGTTTGTTCGGCTCCACAGTCAACACTCTTGGCACCAGCAGTCAGGAAATCAAAAAGCGTATCGCGATGGGAAAGTCTGCTGTTAGTGACCTCTCTAAGGTACTCAGGAGCAACAGTGTCTCTCTGGAGACTAAGGTGCGCCTGATACAGGCTATGGTCTTTGCAATCGCTTGTTATGCATCAGAGAGTTGGACAATGACTAGGGAGGACAGAAGGAGAGTGGATGCTTTTGAGCTGTGGTGCTGGAGAAGGGTACTGAATGTACCATGGACTGCCAGGAAAACAAACAGATTCATCTTGGAGAGGATTAAAGCAAGCTACTCCTTGGAGGCAAGGATTCTGGGACTTCGTCTGACATACTTTGGACATGTTGCCAGGAGGGACGGGTCCTTGGAGAGGGACATCATGCTTGGGAGGGTGGAGGGACAGCGCAGGAGGGGAAGACCCTCTATGAGATGGATTGATTCGGTGACTGGGGTAATCGGGATGGGTGTGTCAGAGGCGGTGTGGTTGGCGCAGGATAGAGCAGGGTTTAGGGCTGTTGTGCATAGGGTCGCTATGAGTCAGAAATGACTCGACGGCACATAACAACAACAACTTCCATTCAAATCTGAATTAAAAATAACTATCGGTGTGGAAAACAATGTATATGAATTTTGTAAGTACACCAGTATACAATTTAAAAAAATTTTATTATTATTATTATTTGTGTGTGTGTATGTCTGTGTACCGTCAGATCAGATCTGACTGGTACAGAAGGAGATTGTCCCTCCTTTGCTGGCAGAGCATCTGGTGGATTCAAACCATGCGCCTCTGGGATTGCAGTGCAGCTTCTTGCCACTAGGCCACCAGAGCTCCCCTAAAATTTTTTTTTAAATAAAGATTGATGTAAATAAGTCTTTACAGAAGTAGACTGGCTCATCTTTCTCCCTCAGGTGGGCTTGAACCACAGACCTTCTGGTGAACTGAGCGGCCACATACACAGCACCACCAGAGCTCGCTCCTCCAGTGGGAATGAATTGGATCTTTGTTTCTTTGGCTTTGGGGCCACTTCTGACTGCCAAGGGAGGTGGGGATTGTATTCAGATTTGTGCATAAAGAAAGATAGGAAGCAATGTAACCAGCCACACACCCAGCTTCCTCATGCCCTGTGTGTTTATCTGGCTCACAGTTGTTTGTGTTTATTTAAGTGGATACTGTTCACTGCTGTGTATTGTTCTGTCTTGTGGCTGACTTGATCAACTGCCCTGTGGCAGCTGGAGGGCACACAGGGGCCCTACGCGTTGTGGATGACCACATCCCATCTTCTAATAAGGGGAGACCTTAAGGAAGGCACGAGCTGATGGCGAGTGTGTCCACTTTCAGCTGGACGTGATTTCGCCACACTGCTGTCCAAAGCAGTTGTTTCCTTGTGCCCTGGGAGAAGTACACCTTCTTTTGCTGTGCTTTGCAGATAATTGCGTTTTGGATAAACTACAAATTAGTGGCAACCCTGCATTGAGCAGATCTGTATCTGTGCCATTTTCCCAACATCTTGTGCTCGTTCTCTGCCACAGTGTGTCACTTTGGTCAATCTGTGACTCCTTTGATGTTCCCATCATGCAGCTGTACAGAGCTGTTGTCTCATGGCCTAGTGGTAAAGAGTTCATTGTGTTGCCAATCCAAAGGCAGGTAGTTTGAATCCTCCAGTTGCTCCTTGGGAGAAAGATGAGCTGTCTCCTCCTGTGCAACTTACAGCCTCTAAAAACCTGCTAGAGGGTCAGCTATGAGTCGGTTCTGACTTGACAGCCCAGAACAACGATGCACACTTACTGCAGGCCCAATCCAGAAAAGCCAAACTGGCTGCCGTTCAGTGGACACATGGTGACCCTCCATCAGGTTCCAGAGGCTGTGTGTGCGTCTTTACGGGAAAAGACTGCCTATCTTTCTCCGGAGAAGCATCTGGTAGATTCAAACAGCTAACCTTTCAATTGGTAGCACAACTTTTTTTTTGTGTGTGTGTGTGTGTGTACCGTCAAATCAGATCTGACTGGTACAGGAAGAGATTGTCCCGCCTTTTCTCGGCAGAGCATCTGGTGGATTCGAACCGTGTGCCTCTGGGATTGTAGTTGCAGCTCCTTGCCACTAGGCCACCAGAGCTCCCCTTGATAGCACAACTTTAGAACACACATCACCACCTGGATTTCTTTATTACGTTTTTAAACCCAGTGTAATTTAATCCTAACCTTTATGTGCACTGAGAAATAAAAAAAAAAAAAAAAAGGCACATGACTCATTTTACTGTGGGGTTTAGAACCAAACCAAGAATGCCTGCATTTCAGAAACAGGTCCCTGAATTGTGCTTCAGTACCTTGGGAGTTAGGCTGCTGAACCATCAATCAGACCTCTCCGGTTCAAATCCACCTGCAACTCCACAGGAGAAAACAGACGGTCGCCTGTGTAATTCAGAGCTTCCAAAACCCGGGGAGGTCAGCTCTGAGTTGGTCCAACTGACGCCAGTGATTTTTTGTTATCAATTTCAAAGGTGTTCTAATAGCATACAGTGAAATGTGTTGAGGTGTTTACCTAAGGTGGGCAGTTCAAATCCCCTACCTGCTTACCAGGAAACATAGGTAGTTTCTTAAACTGCTGAATGGTCCATATAAATTGGACCCCTCCAATGAGGAGTGAATTTAGTAATCTGAAAGTTGGCAGTGGGAAGTCACCAGAAGTCCTGCGGAAGTAAGGGCCTGGCAACCCACAGGCACTGATTAGAGCCTAGAAAACCCTTTGGAGCTGTTCTACCCTGAACCACATGGGGCCTCCCTGAGTCGGAATCAACTCATTTGATTGGTTAATTGATGAGCTGTGGATTTGGTTTCGGATTTCTACAAGGTCCATTTTGTTTGAGCTCTCAGCAAGGGACTTAAGGAGGGGCAGGGCTGGCCCTCATCCCCCAGGACCCCAGCTTGGCGGGAGGAGGGGGGCCTGAGCAGGCCACACCCAAGCCACGTGGCGCTGATGGGGGAAGCGATCGAGCAGAAAGACCGTCCACTGTTCCAATCTGATTTTATTGAAAAGGAAACATACAAAAATCATGTACAAAAAAAATTAACCAAACATGTACAGAAAATTCATTCCGGTATCTACAGCAGCGCATATACAGTATTTTACAGGCTGGGCCACCCCTCCCCGCTCCCAGACTCCTCCCTCTTCCGAGACCCCCCTCCCTGACTCCCCGTCCTCGCCGCCCCCACCCCCAAAGCGCCTGGTCCAGGGGACTCGGGCTGGGGCGGGGGGGAGCTTCCACCAAGAGATCCCACCCCCCAAATGAATGCCAGTGGTCACGCGTGCTCTCTCTAAACCTATGAATGGGGTGGGTGGGGGAGGGGGTGGTCGCGGGCAGCGCGCCCCCCAACACCCCCCTCCACGATGAAGGTGAGGCGGGCACGGCCTCCCCAAGATGGCTCAGCGCTGGGCGGCCACGCGCCCCCTCTCTGGCTCCAGGAAGCTAGTGGTCACGTTTGGCTCATTTGCTCTTCACGGACCCCCTCCCCGAGAGGAGGGGGGGAAGCACCAGGGGCCTGAGGCCAGGCCCAAAGTGAAGGCGCACCGGTTGTAGGGGGGGATACCCCCCCGTCAGTGTCACCCCTGCAGCTGGAACGGGCAGCCAGCACCAGCGGCCATTCCTGAGATGGTGGTGGGCGGCAGAGGCGGGCGGCGCGGACCCCACCCCCTCGGTCACCGCCGCCTTCAGAAGCTGAGTCCAGCGGCCCCGACCCGGGAGTCCACGTCTCCATCAGCGGGGCCGGAGAGGCTGCCTCGGCCCCCCCGGGGGCAGCCACGCTGGCAGTCCACAATGCTCCATGGTGCACCGAAAGTCCCCCGCGCTGGCCAGGGCGTCAGGTGGGGGGGCCTGCCCCCCGAGTCCCCGACGACCGCCGCCGGGCGGGTGCGGCCACCTAGTTGGGCTCCATCTCGGGGGCGCCGTGGCCTCTGGGTAAAGGCAGGAGTCCCATGATGAGATTGTACAAGACCCTCCAGGGCGAGGGGCGGTGTAGCCGCTGCTCCTCCTGTCTCTGGGGGCAAAAGAAAAGAGAGAAAGAGGGGTTAGAGGTGGGGCGGAGCACTCTATCTAACAAGGCTGCTAAGCAAAAGGTCGCTCTGCTCTGGTGGCCTTTGTGGGAAGGAGCTGGGTTGCCAACCCCGAGGCTCGAAGTTCGAATCCACCAGCTGCTCTGCAGGAGAAAGATGGGCAATCTCCTCCTTGCCCTTTGGAGGATCAGCTTCGATGGCACATCCACACCACCACCACCACCACCACCAAAAAGGTAAGTGGCTTGACCATCCACTGAAAGATGAAGCAGTTCTCTCCCTGGTCCGTCCCCCTAAGTCAGAGGCAACTAGATAGTGGTGGGCAGGGTTTCCTGAAGCCTGTGGTTGGTGGCACTGTGGTTAAGCACTTCACTGATAAGGCAAGCAGGAGACAGATTCTTGGAATCCACTCGGTGGAGAAAGGTGAGGCAGTCTGTGTCCCTACTGGACCCCTTCAGGGCACTTCTACTCTGCCCTCGAGGGTCATGATGATTTAGATTTGACAGCAATGGGGCTTTTTTTTTTTGTATTTTGGTTTAGAGGTATCAAGATGGGCCTTTTATGTTCAGGTCGAAAGGCAGCTCAGAGTGAGGCAAGCAGGACCACCCACACCTTCAGCCAACCCTCCGAAGAAGCATATATCGTCATTCTGAATCCGAGTCAGTTGCAAAGGAGCCCTGGTGGTGCAGTGGTTAAGCACGTGACTACCACAGTAGAGACAAATGGTTGCTCGGGGAGCGACTGAAGGCTTGGAGGTTGGAGTCCACTCAGAGGTGCCTTGTAAGAAAGGTCTGGCAATTGAATTGCAGGGGGGGAAAAAATCATCAGTCACTGAAAACTTGCCAGGAGATACAGACCCTGCGTGACCTCCACTCCTTATACTGAGTGTGTGGACAGGCCCTTCGACAGGTGGGACCCGCCTCTTCAGACTCCCATTAAGACCCAGCGGGAAGGGAGAAACTAACTATATTTGTGAGCACAGAGGTTAGATTAGTGATTGTTCAGACCTGGCCCAGGGTGGGGTTCCAGAAACTAGCACTGCCTCCACAGTATGCCCCTCTGCACTAGCATCAGGGATGCAAGGGTGCTCCTTGGAGGAGAAGTGTAAGAAAACCAAAGGTGCCAAGAACCCACATGGGAAGAGATGTACTTCGTTATTAAAATGCAAACAATGACATGCCCTAATGAGAAAGAAAAGAAGGATCTGCTATCTGTACACTGACCGAGTGGACATAAAGGAATGTGCCCTGAACGTCCTTCCCCAAACAGATGACCCTCAGAAACATGACACGGGGAGGGGAGGAAAGTACCCTGCTTCTCATCAAAGCGAGTAGCTGTGGAGTCAGCGGTGACTCATGGCACCCCCCGCCCCCTTACGTGTCAGGACAGAACTGGGCTCCACTGGGTTCTTTCTCAGTGACTAAGTTTTAGAGTAGATAGAGCACCTGGCCTTTCTTCCAAGGCACCTTGGTGGTCTCAAACCTCTGACCTTTCAGTTAGTAGCTCCCTTCCAATAGGATCTAGGTAAGTGGTGGTATGTGCTGTCAAGTTGATTTGAGCTGATAATAACCCTGCATGACAGGGCAGAACCACCCGAGAACATTTTTCTAGAGCGCTGTGGCCTTGTGGCAAATGGGCCATCTCCTCATGTGCTGTTTATTACAGTCTCTGGAAATCCACTGGAGGGTCAGCTATGGGTGGGTTCTGACTCAAAGGCACATGGCAGCAATGCTGATGGGAGCAGACTGGCAGGATTTCCTTCCACTGGTAGTAGGTTCAGACCTTATTATTCTTAAGCAAGCACTTAACCATTGTGACACTTGGATCTATTACTTAAAAACAAACACACACTGCTATCAAGCAGATTTTGACTTAGGGCCTCCCTTCATGGGGCTTCTGGCGCTTAATCAATCTTAATGAAAACAGACTGCTTCATCTTTCGCCCCCAATACAAAGGAGTAGCTGGTAGGCTTGAACTGATGACCTTGAGGTTAGCAACCTAACACCTAACCCACAGTGACATCTTCACAAGCCCACAGTTTCTAGCCTTCCTCCTAATGAATAAGACTCCCCAACTTGAGAGGTTGCCTCTGAGATAGGAAGGAGGGGAAAGGGGCCCCCGGAGATGAACAAGCAACTTCATAATTGTATGTGTGTGTTTTCTTTAAATGTTTTCCTTTTAATCCATATTCCGTATACAATAACAGCCAACACTGCCTTCATTTGCCACTCCGCTTTTTAAAAAAACGCTCTTTTAATTCTCTGAGACCCCACGAATTCCCTGGGATCCCACAAAAGCTGAGAGCAACTACATCTCCACTAATTTGGCCTTGTTTTTTCCCTATTGTTGTAAAGCATACACAATGCAGCATTTGCCAAGTCGACATTTTTTTTTTCTTCAAGAAGCAAACAGTGAGGGTGTAATATTTGGATTGGATGGAGGTGGATGGGGGTGCGCCCTGTTTTCCTTGTTTTAAAGAAAAAAAGGCCAAGGGGGCGCTCTCTCTCCACCCCCTCCCCCGCCCCCGCCCCCCGGGGGGCGGGGAGGAGCGCGCGATGGGCGTGGTCTACAGCAGCCCCGCCCACCGCCTGGGAAGCTGGGTGGCGCTGCGGGCCCGGGAGGGGCGGGCGCGGCCGCGCGCGGCTGCTG